TTCTCATGCATGGAATCAAAGAAATGGCATTTAAAAAATAACGAGTTTCATAAATGTTTACATAAGGAAAATTCAATCAGTATTTTCATCGGTGTGACTCCGATAGAAGCCAGTTTGAAAGCAGTATTAATGACCTTCTGGTTCTCATCAGAAGATATATCCAATTTATGTTGCTGTCCTAATCTTTTGTATAAATAAACACATTGAAAACGCAATACTTACAATGTATCATCTGTTTGGAGCAAAAAGGGCTTTAACTCCTACACTTTAACACGCTTTCAACACAATTTAGCCCACTTCTGGCTCTGACTATATTATGAATAGACCTGTCACCTGCATTTGTAGTTTTTGAATGGGTCTAAACAAACCTCCGGTATTTCATGAGAAAATGTGATTCTTGTGAAATCAACTGAAAATGGAGTTTTAAACTTTGATTTCATATATTAGAATATAAATGTACATGTATCTCTTTTGTTGTATTTGGAGGCTTGGAGCGGGTACTACAGGTGAAAAAAAATAAAGCATTGGGAAATAATCGACCGAAGGGAGTTTTGAATTTCATTTTAATCAATTACACAAACATATTTTCAATTGAATTCAGTTGAATTCAGACTTACATATTACAAACTGATTCTATATGTGCCTCCTCCTAAGTAGGACAAAAGATGAAGGGAAGAGATGGGAAGGGTAGGGAAGAGTTGTAATATGATTAAAAAATCCCCAGGATATAAAACAAAATAAAAGCAGTACCTTTATCATAATTAAATACCCCTGAGGATTTGCCCCTCTGCAGTTTTCCAAAGGAATATGAGACGTGTAATGGTCAATACTCTTTGTCCTGCATGTTTATTTGCAAGTCAAAGTTGACATTGATTAATGGAAGTGTACTAACTCTCATCTCTCCTCGCCTTTTCAATTGAATAACATCTATTTTCTACTTCTGAATTGTGTCTTGCATTGTCTCTCATGCCTTCTTCTCCGTGAAAAAGCCCCAAATGAAACACCAGGCCAAGATGCTGCCCCCGGGGGAACGCAGACGACAAATTTGTCATTCAATTTCATCTCTGCCCGCAAGATGATGGAGTAACCTTTTGAAGTCTTGTGTTTGAATGAAATAAATCAAGAAAAGCTGTAAAGCTGAAACCACTTTTTGAGGATGTAGGAGTACTTTAGGTGCACAGCAATTCAGATGTTGATCATTGTGTTGTGTGTTACTGGGTTTCCTTGTTTAAAGTTATGCTTTGATGGTCTTTTTGCATGTTTGCATGGTATTTCAAGGCTTAAAGTGCAAGTATAGCCCCCAAAAGATATTTGATTTATAGCAAATCCAAAAAAATACAAAAATATTAGAAAAACAGATACAAGGTTTGAGAAGTCATTTCTTCATGACTTTGCAAAAACAGTTTTGATGTTAAGCCTCTCAGAGACAGAAGAAAAGAAAGAGAAGGAAGATTTTGTATAAATGTGTGTATTCTTAAATATCTATCTTTTATACTACCTATTCGAAATGTTCTCCTTTTCATGCTGAAAAGTTCAGATGGGTGCATGTTTGCGTTTTTTGCTTAAGGCATGCAGAAATCAATTGATTGAAACAAGAAATGTAATATTCATGGCAAAACCAACAGTAAATATGGAAAATAGGGTAGCTTATTTATCATTGTTTTGAGAGAAAAGTGGTTACTTCAAAAGAACCTACATACTCTTTCAAAGGTCAGAAGTGATGGTGGATTGAGTGATGGATTATGTGGTATATCTGATGATAATTGCTAATTTATAAATGCAACAGAATTACGAAATGGATACCAAGATGGCCAATTCCTTCCTGACTTGTCATTGTGTTTTGGCCTTTAAACATTAAGATTCTAATTTCATAATTGCCAACAATTCTGATTTGAAGGAATGATTCCATTTCCCAACCTTCAAACTAATGTTGTGAACATTTCATTCCTTCTGTTTTCTTAAAATTTCATTGTGACAGCATAAAAAGTTAGTTTAGTATTTTTCCGCTGAGAGATTCCTAAATTTTTCTGCGGAAGGTCAGTAATTACGTGTAATGCCATAAAAGTCTGAGAAGGATGGAATTGTTCTTCATTGCTTAATTACTTTAACCATTGGCAATTAGCTATGTGAGTAATCTGCCTTTCATACAATGTACAGTGTATAAAATAAATAGATCATAAATATATTCAAAACAATTTAGATCCAAAAGCTTGCAAAATCCATGTAAACAATGATTATTTTTTTTCTTTTAGCACCAAACAAGAATTGTTGACTCTTGATAATATATACCAATGCCTCCAATTGCAGGAGCAGATTTGAAATTTTGAAATTTCGAAATTTTGAAATTATACACATTTTTAAAAGTCAGGAGCAGATGCATGGAGAGCCAGAAGGACGTTAACACTCTGAAAGTATATGAGTTAACAATCTTCTGGCTCTCAGCAGAAGTCTTTATCTGACCCATCCCTTGTTTACACCGGACATTCCTCTGTTGCTATTTGAGAAATCTCTTGTATCGTTCAACGGTAGCCGGGTTTTCTTCAAAAGAGCTGCTGCTTTGGAGAACAACTTCACATGATCAAACACATTTGACATTTCAGAATCTTTGCACAAGTGCAGATTGCTGGAGGGCCATTGATACTGACAAATTTTGCTTGAATAAATCAGAAAAATACATGAGAAATCTCATGTATTGCTATTGAGAAATCTCATGTACAGTATTGACCAAAGGTAGCTACATGTACATGTATGTTTTCTGCACAGAAGCCACTGCTGCTTTGGTGAACAACTTTCCATGATCAAACACATTTGACATTTTAAAATATTTGCATAAGTGTAGAGAACTTGAGGGCCATTGATACTGGCAAGTTTCGTTTAAATAGACCTGAAAAATCCCGTTGTTATGTTGTCAAGCTATCTTCATCCTGCAACTACTCTTTTATCCTAAATAATATTAATGGTAATAGAGCATGTCATTGTCATAGATTCAGTTGAGAAATACATGTACGTTATGCTTGTGCATTATACCAATGCAAAAGATGAATGGTAGTCAGTGTTATATAATTCAAGATGTTGTTTGTATTAAACAAGTTGGGGTTTATCTGTTTGGTGGGATAAATCTATTCTGAAGTGTGTTTCCCTTTAGATAGATATCCAACATTCCTTGAGCATTTCCCTGCTATTCTAATTTTCTATTTCTCGACTGAATAGAATATTCTAGTGTGATTTTCATCAGTTACCAAAATATCCATAACATGATGTTCACTATATAGGTTAGAAAACGGAAAAAAAGTTATTTCTTGTGAATTCATGCATATCAAGCCATCGTTAAAAAGTACCTGAACATTTTTAAAATAGAGAAATTCAGTCTTTCACTCCCTCAAATAGACCAACACTATTCTCATTCACTCTCCCTACACACCGAAAACAATTTAAAAATCTTTTTACAACTATACAACTTTTACTACTTTTTACAGCACTGCATTACTTCAAAGCATACTATTAACATTTTGAGACATGGTCCCAAGAGAATTTGAATAGCTTAAATTAGAATGGAAAGGAAAAAAATTGTTGAAAGTTGTAAGATTTGTTACATTTTTTAGTATACATGCAAAAACTTAGTGTTCTAATTTGTCAGTAAGACCAGTACCACCTTGCTTTCATATCCACATGAATAGGAAGAATTGAAGGCCAATCTTTGTTGTCGCCTGCAGACTTTCCAGTTACCTGACTTTTCACAATGAATTCTTAACTCCCACTCCATCCCACATAACTTCTCATTCACTGTGTAATTGCATGTTAGTAAACATCAAGCTATGATGCCTGTGACTACTACAATCAGAAATGAACACTATTCAAAATTATGCTCTGCAATTATTTACACAATATGTAGACCGTAGCATGTACAGTCTTATCGTGCAATATGAAAACAAATTTGAAATGAAAGCAGGAAAGTTGTGATGAATTTGTTGATCAGTGTTTAGAGAAAGTCAATATTTATTAGTATTCAAGATATTTTAATAAGAAGAAACATTTCTGGAAAAAAACCCAACTAATAATAGCAGGGCATCACGTCATGAAACTGTCATAAGAACAAGTCTGCCGACACCTTATTGAAATACATATTAATCCGGATACATGTGTTTGAGTAGGATGTCTGTGAATTTTCACTTAAATGCATGAATGATTGTTTTGTGAGAGATTTCTATTTGTTTATAGATAGAACACAAGTCTGGATTAATGAAATGACTGAAATCTATTTTAGTCCTTGATGAGAGAGAGAGATAGTGTAGTCCAAGGGGGGACTAAAGTAAGAATCACTTTGGTTAGGGCATTTTTATGTGATCAGCCCTCATCAAATGGCCCGCAAGCCATAATTTTGAGCGGCCCTTTGGGAAAATTCCACGAACCCCCCATGGGTAGTCTGCCCCTGTTGTTGTCACATTTACTATATGTCAAAAGCCGAAAGCATTGGATCATCTGTAGAGAGCCTGAATAGCATTCTCTTATAATTGATTTGAATCAATGCCCTCCTGGCTTTCAGCAGATGTGATAATTACTTATCCTTTGATTGAAACATTCAAATATGTTTTATCATGGGTTTTAAAGGCATCGTTTAACAATGTTAAATCTGAGATGCATAGCCCCAGTGTTATCAGTGTCTGTGATATGGTGTAATATTGAAGCCCTAAAAAAATTGCGCTTCAAAATGATCACGAAGTGCCTAAAATGTATAGTTCTTTGAGTATATAAAAACCACTAGGAAATTTTTTTTTTAGATTTTAATTTCCGATCATAGATATCTTGATAATCAGACAAGCGATTGGCTTGTAAAAGTCATGGGATTCCTGACTGACCTACAGGTCCATAATTATGATTGAGCATGAGTTAAATCCAGGATTTTATTTCAGAATCTGAGGTAATGTTACTGAGTCAGTTTAAGATGCAAAATTTAAGGACGTTGTTATACGTGATTTTATTGTCTATTTTGATTTTTACAGGTATGGTGCAGATCCTCTACTCTTCATCTCCAACACCATGATTGGCATCACCCTGAGTCTTATACCTCTGTGTAGCAACCTACCTCTCCTCCTGGCCGACCTGGCCTTCATGGGCTTCTTCATGGGTATCATCGACACCACAGCCAACGTGTCCTTGCTCAAGATCTATGGCAAACTCGTCTCACCGTTCCTTCAGGTGAGTGCATGCATGCTGCCCTAGCTCTCTACCACAGACTTCCTGTGCTGAAGCAGTTTGTACTTGAAGCCTGAAAAGCCTTAGAGGGCGTATCTCACTGAGCGGCTAATGCTTACGAACGTTGCAAATTCGGATTTGCCAACTTTTCTGACGAATGTTGGTGAAAATCAGGGTTTGCCTCTGCGACATTAAGCTACTTTTAGCGATGTTTAGCGACAATTAATAACATTTGAGCCAATGTTTGTGAAAGGCAGTTGGCAAATATTAGCGACTGTAAGCAAATGTTAGCGACAGTTTTTGCGAAAATTAGCAACTATTTGCCAATCCTTTGCCACTAAATATTTGTGAATGTTTGGGACCTTTTATTAACTCCTGGTACTCGATGGGGTCGATTTTATTTAGGAACCATATGGTGACGTGGTTGCTAGGATTGGCTAATCAAAAAGAACTTCAGCGGCACCACCTTACAACAATTTGCAAACGCTTAAGACTGTTTTGCAAACGCCTACGATTGTTTTGCAAACGCTTACGACTGTTATGCAAATGCTTGCAACTGTTTGCAGAAAAATAAATTTTGCAACAAAGACAAGGAAACTGTTTGCGACAGTGAAAACTGTTTGCGAAATTTCTTGCAACCTTTTAGGAACCCTGGGGAAATCCCAAATTTGCTATGTTTGCAAGCATTCGCCGCTCAGTGAGATACACCCTGAACCGATCATTTTGAAAGATATCATGATGGATTAGGGGTATAGAACATTAGTCTTATAATCTGTAGGTACTGGTTTGGAAACCAATAGATTGGTACAGCTGTGATCCTTAGACGGCCGGGAATTCAGCCTGCCCTAATATTTAGTTGGTTCTGATAAAAGCAGAAAAATGAGACAAACATATTAGTGAAAGTTTGAGCAATATCAGATTAAAAATAGAATGAATATTTCAAGTTGTCATCATTAAAACAGATAAACTTCATGTTAATTTTAGGTCAATACAATACACGATGTATATCCAACTTCGGTATGGTAGTAAAGAGTACAGTAATAAATTATTAATTTCAAATTAAAACTACGATATTATGGTAAATAAGCAAAATTTTCTATTGATGAAACACAAAGAAATTATTCAAGAAATGTTAAAGTGACTCGGTAACATTGTTGAAGGTTGATGAAAAAATTGCTAAATTTTTGTATAAAATGTTACTTATTATATTCCTTATACTGTACTAACCCTCTGACATGCAAAAAATCCTGAAAATATTCTCAAACCACGAAGATATCTATGGTTTTCTTTGAAGGCATCAATGTACGACACTCTCTAACAGTGATTAACAGTAAATTCTCCCAACCATTTTTGAATCTCCCCAACCGTTTTTTCATGACAAAAAGACATAAAACAGGCTAATAAAAATCTTTCAGCACTTAAAGATAAACTCCAGTTCTGGTAAAAAAAAGAAAATTAATTCTCACAGAATCAAACGAAACTTACACTGAATGTTCAAGATTACAAATAAATGACATGTGTCAAACAATTTTGGAAGAAAATGTATACTGGCTGAGTTATGAGCATTGAAAGACAAGGAAATCAAGGTAGTTACTAGCCCCGACACCATGTGTGTTGTCCCATATATAGCTTTCTGTGTACAGTGCTTGTTACTTTACCAAGACTTGGTCAAATTTATTATGATTTTGATGACTCCAGAACCTTGCAGTGCACACAAATACTTACATGCTACATGATCAACTGTTTCTGATCCTTTCCACACCTTTTCTTTCACAATGCAATCGCATGACCAGTACTAAAGTTTATCTTTAAATGTCTGGAATGGTATGTAGAGCCAATTTATTGCCTTGTGGCAGTTTACATTCACCTAAAATGTAATTAAATTGTTATAATATAGTTGGGAGAATTAAGGAATCGATCAGATCAGTTTTTCCCAATTTGTATCATTAATAATGGTCCGTTTTCACTCAAATTTTCAGATTATCTTTAATTGTACATCTAGCATTGAAGTCACTACCTTAGCACCACTTTCTCTCATCTGAACAATGTTACTAAGTCCCTTTAAGGTTGTAACCATTTATTTAATAACTTTTGTCTTTTTTTTATTATGTTAAAATGTAAAATGATGTAAATATAAATGAAATATAAAATATGAGAAATAAAACACCCCAGTAAGAGGACAAGAAAAAAAAATCAAGATAAAACCCAATAAGAATGGCTATAATATTTTCCTCAAAGAAATGTGAATATACTATTTCTATGTACATGCACTCAGAGAGCATAGATTAAGTATTTATATTTTTGCCTAAAACTTGTCAACATTCTTTTAGAAGCTTTTAAAAAAATAGATGGGTTTATACTTTCTACACGTTCAATCACATTCATTTTCCAGCCCAAAGCTGATCATTACCTTAGTAGGAATAATATTTTAGTTCAATTGGTCATATTTCTCCCTTCCCCTAGAAAGGAAGTAAAGACAGGATAGGAGATGGGGGGGGGGGGGTCCTTTCCTCTCTCTCTCTATTTCCTTTCTTGTTCTGGTTGTGCACTCTCATTATGATCCTCCCACACAAAATCTCCCAATCATAATTCTGTTTGTTCATATCATCCTCCTCTCCTTGGGCGGTTATATTTCCATGGCAACCATCGTAACATAAATACTGGCTCATGTCCCATCTATTCATATGTTCCAAAGATTTTGAGTGAGATTATAAAGCCATACGTGCCCATGTGTTGTTTTTGTAATGCCCTCATCTCGGACCATCTCATCTTTCTGCAAACGAGAAAATAAATTTTGCAGCAACAATGGGATAGGGTATCGAATTGAAAATGTTCATGCTGGACTTAAAGATTAGGTTTTGAAAATTTTGTAAAGATTTTGTTTCCAATGTGGGCAAGCACGTACTTGTGATTATTGGATATTACGAGCTTGAATATTGGAGAAACTTTAGATTTTATTGTGACAATTTTTAGGTCTACTAGCGATCAACAACTTCATTGTGATATTGGATATTTTGTATTTGTTTTCTTAGGTTATGGTAGATTTTTAAAATTTGTATTCATATACAAATAGATTTGTTTCATCTGTTGGAGACACATACCGTATTTAACGTTTTATAAGCCACACCATACTTTTTAGCCTGTGGGAAGAATAAAAAACAGAACTGTGTTAAAATCGCTGATGTAAGTGGCATTTATGACAAAAAGTAAGTCACCAAAAAGAAAGAAATGGATGAAGAAAATAATGCCAATATCACTGGCGTTTAAGAAAGAAAAAAGAGAGAGAGAGAGAGAGAGAGAGAGAGAAAGCAAAAACAATTAGATGTCGCTGATGTTACCGGCTTCTATGAAAAAAAGGAAGCCGATGGAAAAAAAGAAATCAATGAAGAAAATTAATGCTGATATCACAGGCGGTTGAGAAAATATGAGAGACGGTTCGAGAGAGAGAGAAGCGAAAAACAGTTAAATATCGCTGATGTTACCGGCTTTTATGAAATTTTATTGTGACAATTTTAAGGTCTGCTATTTAGCGATAGCATATAGGTCTACATAAAGATAATATTTCATCCGTGACAATTTTAAGGTCTACCAGTGATTTACAACTTCATTGTAATGGTATTGAAAAAAATACACTAGGGCTCGGGGCGAAATAGCCCCCAAAATGCCCAAAAGAGCCCCCGAAAATCAGAAAAGAGCCCCCATAAATTTGCTTAAAGTTCAATGCAAAACAAATCTTAGAATGTTACATTCATGCAGGCAAGCTTGAAAAGTAGCCCCCGAAAAATAATATTAATTTTTTCCCTGGTCTACTTGTATCATCAACTTCATTGTGATACAAATATTTTGTATTTTGTACCTGAGTTCAGTTAACTGTTGAAAATGTGTCTACTGTAGCTTTGTTTTAACTGTGGGAGACATGTTCTTGTGATATTTTTTAAAATTTTAAAATAAACTTTAGATCTTATTGTGACAATTTAAAGGTCTACTGGTGATTCAAAATATTCATCTTAGTACTGCATTTTTTTCATATTTAAGTTTTTTGAGAGTTTCTGATTAAACATTGAGAATTTAAAAGTCTGCTTAGAAGTATCCGTTCTTTTAGGTCATAAAATATTCGAGGGTACTTTATTTTCAGAATCCCTATTATTATCCTTAATGCCCTTAATAAAATGGAAGGCTGGCTAAAAATATTGTAACCAAATAGGAGCTGATAGAGTACATCTTACATGAATCAAATCTTTTAAGGTTAAACATTGAGAATTAAAAGTCTGCTTGTAGTATCCGTTTAATAGATTTGATGCTTTGATATTTTTAGGTCATAACATTTTAGAGGGTACTTTAATTTTCAGAATCCCTACTATCGTCCCTGTCTCTTGACCCTAATAAAATGGAAGGCTGGCTGAAATATTGTAACCAAATAGGAGCTGGTAGAGTATCAGCCTTTTCACACACAGCTAAAATTCTATAAACATGATTAGTTTAAAGGGCTTTAAACTAATCACTTGTACATACGACATCATTCACACACAGAAATTTCGGTGCGATCGTTAATCGTTTCGTGATTAACTACTGCTCGTAAAATGCGCAGTAGTGCCATTGCGCATTGAAGGTCATGTCATATCAATCAAAGCGCACTCTCCATCCAGTTTAAACACGTTTAAACACGAATACTGTATTTGCCGGCGATAATGCTGCACCGCCGCAAAGGCCGCACCCCCGATTTTGACATTTAAAAAAAAAAAGGAAAAAAAAACATTCAGACAAAACAAAATAATCATAATTTTCTCGAAAACACTATTTTTTTTTACAAACTGATACCAAGTTCATCAATATTCTTATAATTTACTGGAAGTTTAGCTAAAAAAGTGATCACAGGCAGATTTGGTGTCCGATATATACCCCTACCGTGCACAATGTACGGTGTAATGCGAAACTGCATAAAATGGAAAAACAAAATGGCGACTTTGGATGGATGTTCGCGGCAGCTCCGTTAAAAGGGTCCCTTCCTTTACTTTTGCAATGCATTGGCACGAAAGTAGATCAAGATCTACCGGCAAATGTTGTGTTAGAACGTTTATTTTCGTCTTCATGTCAACAATGCAAGGTAAAATTGTCGGTAAGATGTGTAGTAATGTCCTGTACCATAGTGGTATAGTTATTTTACCGTTTGCAGTCCCATATGTGCAAATTCGTGCTGGTTTTGACTTTTTTTATTTTTTTTATTTTTTACTCTTTCATCGTAAAGGCCGCACCCCAACTTTTTTATATTTTCTCTTCCAAAAATACTGCGGCTTTTACGCCGGCAAATACGGTAACCGTTCACACACAAAATGTCAAGCTCTCTAGATACGAACTTCGTATCTGCAGCCTGTTTTTAGGGGCGTATGAATCGCGACTTCATATCTATCCCAACATTTTATAAACGATGTTGACACAGGGAAAATTTTTCTATAAACATGTTTAAAACTGTTGAGTTAAACACGTTTATACTAATCATCTCTAGATACGATGAATTTTAGCTGTGTGTGAAAAGGCAATATATCTCACATGAATCAAATCTTTTAAGGTTAAACATTGAGAATTTAAAAGTCTGCTTTAGTATTTGTTTACCGTAATATATTTGATGCTTTGATGTTTTTTACCGGTAAGTCATAACATTTTAGAGGGTACTTAATTATCCTCCCTGTCTATTGCACTTAATAAAATGGAAGGCTGGCTAAAAATATTGTAACCAAATTGGAGTTGGTAGAGTATATCTCACATGAATCAAATTTTTTTAAGGTTAAACATTGAGAATTAAAAGTCTCCTTGTAGTATCCGTTTAATAGCTTTGATGCTTTGATATTTCTTAAGTCATAACATTTTAGAGGGTACTTTATTATCATCCCTGTCTACTCTCTTGTCCTTAATAAAATGGAAGGATGGCTAAAAATATTGTAACCAAATAGGAGCTGGTAGAGTATCTATCTCATATGAATCAAATCTTTAATGTCCCTAGACAAGAATTTTGATCCTGTTGTCTGTCTCAAACCATGGATACTCGCTAACGGATACTTGATACCTTGTAATGGACTATGTACCAATAATGGTTTCAGGGGCTAGCCAGGGTTATTATGTTTAAACGGACATTTAAATGTTTTTTTTTTTTCTGTAATTTTTTTATGAGAGCATCGTTCTTATTTTCATGATTCATATCATCATCATCATCTGCGCCTTGAGCATTTGACCTGCGCCTTGAGCATTTGACTGTCAAGTGGATTTGGTGCCTTATAAATCATATGTATTATTATTATTATTATCATCATCATTTTTATTATTATTACCGGTAGTGGTAGTGGTCAGTAGCAGTAATAATAGTGATATCATTTTATTATTACTATTTTTATTACTATTAAAGTTATCATTATTGTTATCGCTATTGTTATTGTTATTGTTATTATTGTTATGTTATTGTTACTGTGTTGTTTTATCTCTCTTCCAGGCTCTTCATTTCTGTTACGGCCTTGGTGCGGTCATCAGCCCCCTCTTGGCCGAACCCTTCCTTCTGAACACAGACTGTACTCTGTTGGTCACCAACGGGACAGCCAGCTCCAGTGACGATGGTGCCAGCGTGACCGCTGAGACGGTGACACTGAGTTCTTTAGAGGATGCCCAGTCCCAAACCAACGTTAAGTATGCCTTCTGGATCATGGCTGCTTTCCAGGTAAGTTCTTCAGGCCTGATGATTACCTGATTTGAACGGTTTCCCTATTTGATTTCCCCCCGATTTTCCCTATTTCCCCCTATTTTTCCCAAATTTTCTTACTCAAAAGGGGGGGGGGGGTGAATGTTGTTAGATGCCATTTTTTCCCTGAAACCTTTTTTTTTTGCTCAAGGGGAGGGGGGGGGGGGGGTGGTTGAGGAAAACAAAAACAAAACCTTTTTTTTAGTGGTCACTATCACTCCTGGTTCTTAGATTTTTTGGTTTGGGATCTCAGGTATATAATAATTATGAAAATATCAAGATTGTCTTCTTGCATAGGGTAGCCTCATCATTAGTTATCATTCTACCTGTTTTAAATCTTAATGTCATTTTTGAAAACCACAACTTTACATGGTTCCTAAAAAACTTTTGAGAAAGGTGATAGGTAGGGGACTGACACTGCTGACTAGCTGCAATGAAGTACAAATAACAGGCCCTTCTTATGCAGAAAAGCAATCTTTTTCACAATTTGAAATGGAAAAACAACTGAAATGGGACAAACCCCAAACAAATGTGGTGGTGTTTGTGGTTTCATTTTTAAACCCATTGCCTACGTGAATCGGGTGCTTATTATTCAAAAGTCAATGGGAATGAGATAATTCAGTAGTCAATGAGTTAAGAGGTAATATTTTGTCTATTCAGAGCCAAAATAGTGTTAGCTTAGTGTTATAGTATATGAGTTAATGCCCTTCTGGTTCCAAACATATGATATATACGAATGAATGTAGGTTTAATACCAAATGGAAATTTGCGGCTTACGGAACAGTTGTTTCCCATCTATGATGAAGTAATGACAAGACCGCAAGTAACGTCAGTTGTGGTTAAAAGTTAAAAGGACAGAAGCATTGAAGTAACATTAGTCATAGTAATGAAGCATAACACATTTTGCAACGTGCATAAGCCATTAATCTTACGAAAGGAATATGGAACAGACTTATTGGAATGACACTTTAGATTTCCCCAAATAAAATTTTTCGATTACAAAGATAAAAGGAAGTGGAAGAGATACCATTATGGCGCAAAAATAGAGAGTGCAAAGCTTTTAGGGGTGATTAATTTGAATAGACATGACACATAATGGTGGGATTAGTGTGGATAAAGAAGAGACCATTTCATTTAGTTTGCTGTTGCAAACCCTTGCCATTGGTTGTGCATAACAGTGTGTCTGAACAGCAAGACTATGCAGACTGCATGAGTGCACTTTCTACTGCACTCCATACTTTAGCTGCTCCTCACAAAGCCAGAGACTGACAGGGCTACGCTCGGCTCAAGGCTTGATGGAGTTGTTTTCAAGTGTCAGATCAGAGTCTGCGCTTACAGACTACATTTTGTTTACACCAGACAAAAAAAATCACTTGTTAATGACATGTCCATCAACGCCAGCCATTAACTCCATCCAATAATGCTTAGCTTATTAATTGATCTTTTTCCCCGCTTTGGGACGTACGTGAGTCGGTCAAACACCAGATATGAAATGTGAGATGAGATGGGCACGGGTAGTAGTAGTTAAAATATAATGTTACAAATGATGATTAAGCCAGATTATTAGAACTTGCGATCTTTTGCTTCGAGTGAGCGATATAAGGTGTTAAAAGGACGTACTTGATAGTTGACACAATGGTGGATTGGAAAAACAAAACATAAAAAGTTGGTGAATGTGATCCTAAACAGAATTATAACACATGTGCACATAATACATGTGTATGAGTTTGATGTTGAAGTGTATTTTGAAGAGGTTGTTTGATGTCAAAGCTAAATCCATTCTTATTTTTAGGTGATATGATGCCGCCTATACTAAAAGTATCCCCCAACAAAATTTAAATCTCAAGGGATGGATTTTTTATTGCTCTTGAAAGTCAAATAGCCTTTCATTTCTTTTTAGAAATAAACTCTAATACATCCCTTGATAATTTAAATATATTGCAATGTCCCTAAAAAAGCCCTCAGATTAGGCAGCAAGTAGCAGAACAAACCCTTATTACAGGACACAACATTCAGTGGGATGATGCCAACATCTTTGAGTTTGAAATGCACCTCTGGTCAAGAATGGTAGAATAATCCATCTGCATAAAAATTTCTTTGATTATTATATTGAATCGAATCGAATCTGAAATATTATGAACATATAATTGTATGGGCAGGTGGTCTATAATTATTCTATATAACACTGATTAACAAGCAACAGGATGGATATTTTGAAAACAGATTTCCTCACAATCGATATATATATTTAAATCTGTAACAGAGTCTGTATAATGTCTTTTAAAGGCATCGTTTAACAATGTTAAACCTGAGATGCATGGCCCTACGTATTATCAGTGTCTGTAATATGGTGTGCTATTGAAGCCCTAATAAAATCACACTTCAAAATGAACAAGAAGTGCCTCAAAAAGTAAAAATCTTTGAGTGACCGGTTTTACCATACTTGTTTTCCCCAATAGACAATTTGGCAAACGCAAAATTTGGATTCGATTTCCAATCATAAATATCTTCATAATCTGACAGGCGATCGGCTTATAAAAGTCATGGGGTTCCTGACTGACCTAAAGGTTTATAATTATCATTACAGCATGAGCTAAATCCAGGATTTTGTTTCAAAATCTGAGACAAAGTTACCGGATCCCTTTAAATCACTACAGAACCAAGTGAATTGCAGTCGACACTCAGAACCAAGGTAGATTGCAGACACACTGTGCTATAAATTTTCCATTCGCAACAAATCCAATAAAATGAGATGAAATCTATACTTCTACTTATAATTATCTGTAGGTATTACTGACAGCCTCCCAATGATACATATCTGTCTCTGGTTCATATAGGGATAGAAAGAGAATGAAAATATCCTTTCCTATGAATATCAAACAGCATCAGATATATATGTATTAATATGATGGATTTCACATTTACCTGTAGCTGTCACTGTTGAACTATAAAACAGTCAAATAGAGTTTTGAACCAGTTTATGATTAGAGTATAAGTCATGCAAAATTTTGTTTTCACTTGCACTTATGACATTGACCTTTATCAAAGCAGTCTTTGATTAAACAATGTAGGCCTAGTTGAGAAAAAAATTGTCTTAGTGGTGATTTTATTTTGACATTTTTAATGATTACATGACATACTATTGTTTTTATGTTTTGAAGTGACTCAAATGTTGAAGAAGACTGGAAAGTGAAAGGGATTCAGAAACCCTTTGAGAAAACTAACCTTTTAACATTATTGGAGTAGTTTTTTTTAATATCATCTAGTCAATATCCATTTTATTTTCAAATCAGTGATTGAATCATTGCAATAAGCCCTTCCTCCCAAGTACACACATCTATTCTCTTTAAGAGGCTTTTGACTATACTCCATTAGAAGGATTAAATCCGGCGCTATTGACTATTCAGACTTCAATGTTATCGAGTTGTAGCGGCCCACGTCTTCCCTTCTCATTCCCCTTCATTCAATTTCAAATCCAACTTGTGTTTGTTCACAGATTCGGTTACCAATGGCGACAGGCTGAAAGTCTCGGTTGTTTCAGATGTCACTTTGATATTTGTCCATGTATCTGGATAAGATGTGGATTGTGCATGAGATTAAAGTGATAGGTCATCTTCTGTATTCGAGCTTTGTTTATTAAGCTTACAATTGTTCAAAGAGACATATGAACATGTATTGTAGTTTTGAAAGGAAACCGACTGTCTTGTAAATGGATAATATGAATTGTGTAAAGGGATATATCGCAACAAAATTATATGCACTCCTATAATAAAAAAATAAGTATTAAAGGGAAAGCAGAAATATTTGCATATTGGATTTTCCATTACTGAGGAGAATCATTTTGTTTAGTGGAAAGAAGAAGTGTAAGCAGCGTACACACTGTATGCTGCTTGACCCATTTATAATGGTCACATATGTTGTATTTTTTAAACTAAAATATTCTATAGTTCTCCACATGTATATCAAAATATCAAGCCTGGTCAATAAAGATGATATTGACTGTTAAGAACCCAGGTTTGTAAACAAATCAGTTAATCAGATTAGAAACCAGAATTAAAATGGCGATAATGGTATATATTTTCCAGAAAATATATTTTTTAACTTTTAAGGCTGTAAAGAGTTTTTAAGTACTTTTGAGTCGAAACAGCATCATCACACATGTTGAATTGTCTGGTAGCGGTTATTCATTCTTTTTTAGTAATATTTAACCCATTAACGGATAATCCCCCATGGTAGATTTCATGAATAGGGAGCTATCTTTATCCAACGAGCTTCCATCTCCATGATACGCCTTATCCCTTGGTGTTGTGTGCTTCTGAATAATGGATAAAAGTTCACTTGTTATACCCGACTTCTGGTGCATGTCTCTAGGACTTCTTGATCAAGGAGGAAAGGGGGTTGATATTCCCGAGTGGGGGCTGCCTGGGGATGATTCTCATGGACAGTGCTTCTATGGCAAGTTGTGCATTCTACTTAAGAGTTTACCATGCGTTTCAATGATCCATCGTCTGTGGGAAGTTCACTTCTCATAGTGGACTTTCTCATGCACGTCTCTAGGAGTAGGGGGTTGGCTGCTCCCATGAGGGGGCTGTGGGGGATGGATGATTCTCATGAACAGGCTTTCAGTGTTGCATTCTGCAGTAGTATACAATGCATTTCACCGTTGGATCATCTGAGGGATGTCCCTTGGTACCCGCTTGCCGGTGACTTGGGTCGTTCAGGAAGCATGGGCTTGAGAGGGCTTGGGATGTGGCGCCTCTCCAAGCCGTGATATACATGTAGATTAGGCTGTATTAAAGTGACAACCATTAAAGTCTTACCCTTAAGTCTTACCAATGGGCATCTCTTGGAAACAGCATCAGCTAGAAAGTCTAGCTTTAAGGCTGAAGAGATAATAATAATAATAATGTTGGCTTCTTATATAGCACACATGTCCGTCACGTTGTGATGCTCCTGGCACTGCCCTGATTATTACCCTGGCTTTAGCAAGGTGGCCATTACGAAGATGAAAGGTGGCTACTGTTTGCAGGTGCTGAAAAGGAATTACAGGGGAAACGCTCAAATAGTAAATATTAGCAATGAAAAAGTAATCATAAATAATAAGGTAAATGGCAGATTCTTAATTACAACTTCTCATGAGATGCTAATATCTGATCGCCTGAGGCCTAAAGAGAATTTGGACTCACAGCTAGTATCCAAAGTACATTTGCGCAAAGACCCTTTATAAGGAACATGTATATGATATAAAATGATAAAAAAAGAAAAAAAATTCTTTGAAGACATCAAAACATTTATAGATTTTATTCACAACATAGAATAGATCAGATTGCCCATGTTCCCATGACTATATTTCCAACTCTTCATTTTTCTTTTTAAAGTTTTACTTGATTACTATTAAATGAAGACAGTCAAAGCACTTTTTTTAGATTATTGGGAATATCATAAATTTGTCTTCACCAGATAGCGTAGGTGGCGTGGGAAGTATAATTAAGTTGCAGGCTTGCAGCTCCTATGATAAATCTACTGCCAGCTTAAAGATCATATTTTGGAATGATAGCAGTTTTCCAGCGCGAATTAAGATAATTTCATAGCTGACGAATAATAATCTTTTCTTTTAACTTCAAGATCCATTAATCATCTGTTTGTACTCATGCATGGGATAATTGATAGAGCCGCAGGATTTTTTTTCTTCCTTCTTGTCATGTGCTTCCGTAAAAGATAAATATATTATATCAAATATTCTACCCACTTTTAATTACATTGCCCATCTAAAAGAGAAATTGAGCATGCCTCGTAGTATGCTTTCCTCTGCTTAATTCAGAGTATAACATTAAGACAATCATGAGGAATACATCGTTTACTCAGAGCTAGAAGGGCATTAAGTCTTATGTAAAAGTATGACAGGCATCAGGACATAACCTCCATCAAATGATTGTATTTTTACGATATAATCTTGTGGTATTTCTCCAATTCATTGTTCAAAAACAATTCATTTGTGGTATTTACACACAAAAAGAAAATCAATATTTTGTCTTGGCACATTCTTGTAATGAGTTGATATCAGACATGTCCTGCTTTTTCTGACTTGTTTTTATATTTTCTTATTTCTTTTACTAGTATGTCTTATCTCTTTATTGTGAGCCTGTTCACAATTATATAATGATATATTGTTATTACTATTTAAAAAAAATGTATTTATGTATTTATTTATTCATCAATTTATTTATTTGTTTATTTACTTATTAATGTTCTTCTTCATACCTCTTGTCATTATTTACAGATTCCTATTGTAAGTCTTGTTCTTGCCCTGAACATCCGTCGATACTGCTGTAGCCCGCCCTCAGACAAGAGTTTTATCACGGTCTTGAATCGTTCAAACTATGTTGACCTCGATGCAGGTGAGTTACTTACTTGTATGCCCATCCCATAGTTTTGGAATATTGTTTTACTTTACTTCATGACCTAGTTATTCCTACCTCATTTTTTAAAGATATCTAATCAACTTTTAAGGAGAATGAAACCCCCAAAACAATAGCTGGTAATCTTGTTTAAAATTGTCGTCCAGTTAAAAAAAAAGATTCTGAAATTAGTTGTTTTTATTATTTAGTAAGAAAAACAACATCTCAAAAGTCAGCAGTTTTCTTGCTCTCTTGCTCGCCGTTGTCCCACTGGAGTTGCCATTTTTATCAAAATTGTGATGTAAAAGTAGTACAACTTGTGAGGTTTACCCCCTGACCTGTATTTTAGCTACAATGTACATCACTTACTTCAGCTTCCTAATAACAAACCATTTTTGTAATGCAATTTAGATGAATGGATATTCTTTCATCAAATTCATCACTGTGACAGGATGTGTTGGTTGAGCTGTTTGGAACAGTTAAGCAGCTTATTTTGTTTAGAAATATTTGGCATGCATGCATGGGTTGTTGCTTGGTCAGACCAGGAAGCTGTAATGAATGGAGATACCGTCTCGAAAGAATTTTCCGAGGGAAAATTATTCAAGATTAACCTGGCTTAACAAAAAGAAATGTAACCCTCTCCAGCCATCATTTCCATCAACAGCTGTTCATATCAATGCACAGTCCCTCTCTGGCATTCCAAATAGTACGAAATGTTACGTAACGCCATCTGCTTCCCTAAGTTCTCTATTCACTCGTTTGCAAAAATATGCAAGCATTGGGCTTTGAAGCCATGCGTGGCACCGACAAATTAAGTCATGTTCATGAAAGATGTATTTAGCTATAACATATAAAATGCAGAATTCACAACATTATGACCAATGCAACTTTCTATTAGTCATCAAATGCGTTTTCCGTTCTCGGATAGCTCTACTGAAGACATGGCCATTTTAACCAGCGAAATCGACCAAGGAAATCATGAGTTAGAGCGAATGAAAGATTTTCATAATCATGATTTTCTCATCTAATTATTGACATTTTCCGAAAATTTCCGAAATTTGTACATAGCTAGGAAGGTAGTCCAAAGGTTTATCTTCCTAAAGAACTAAATGAAATTGTGTTATATGTTTGCGCATTTATTGATTTAGGGCTAGAAGTTGTCAAGTTAGCACCACAATTCACCCAAAGTACGGGCCGGCAAAGCAAAAGCCGCCGTGCTCGCTGGGCTGGGCTGTGTGTGGAAAGGGAGGACTTAGTGCTACTCGGGAGCTGTAAGGTTTTGGAGGGGGATTAAGGGGATTACGGTTGGGGAAACAAAAGACGCGCGGTGCCACGGATGACTTCAAAGGGGCCTCTTGGACGGGATCTCCATTCATTACAGCTTCCTGGTCAGACATAACTATGTATTATTCAAAAGAGTGACACAGACATACATGATAGAACTGCTCACAGAAATCACCTGTTTGAGATGCCGGAGTAACAAGATGGCTGTTTGCATCACTGGCTTTGGTTGCTCAATAACCAGTCATTATGCAAAACACCATATCCATTCTATGCAGGTCAGTGGATGTGCACTACTCTGACACCACCACTTCAATCGTGGTGGCAACTCCTATACATGTAGCAGAATGGGGAGAAATGAAACAAATTTTAAATGCAAAATTTGAAAAGATAGGTTTCCTTTCTCAGTAATAAAATAGGATTAATGTCAAGATGTTATCAACCGGCTGACAACTTTGAATAAGATTATCAGCTATAGTTTGTTGGTTTTTCCCTTTTCCCTTTGAGTTACTTTACACATGTATGTCAAAGTTTTACATTTTGAGTTACCGGTACTTATTCCCATCCCAAATTTTGTTAGTCTCTACTTCAAATAAATTACATAAATAAATAAATGAATGAATAAATGAATGACAAAATTGGAAATAGCAAATTAAATCAGGAAAAGAAAATTGATCAGAAAAGCCAGTTAAGTCAAATAAATTTGGATGAGTTATGAGAATGTTATGAATATTTGAAACATGAGATCATGACAAATGGGAATCCCAAATTGGCAAATCAATGATGTTACTCCATTTTTACTTGTAAAATATCACAAAATACAATCTTGAACGAAACATAACCCATCATACTTTTGCTCAAGATATAGGAAATTTTTGTTTTTGCATTTTGTACTGAAATTGAGTAAAATCTTTCTAGGTAAATTTGAGAAAAGGATTTTAGACAATCACTTACATGTTTGTTACCCTTTGTCTAAATTTAGTGAAATTGAGTCTTGTGGCATTCCAAAATATTTTTTTTAGAGGATCATCAAAACAATTTGTCTACACAGTATACATTGGCATATTTATTACCCTCATAGTTAATAATCAGTACCGTTATTAGAGAGATTTTCCCGTGGTATTTTCCCCCTGAAATCCTCATTATTTATTAGCACAGAGAGTTGTATGTGCTGACTAGAACCATGACAAGGGGCATTTCAAAAATACAATATCAATTACTTTCCTAAAATTTTGTGTCGATTAAGTATTTAAATATTGCCCATTAGCTTGATGTTTTGTTTGAACAAGTATTGCCTAATGAACAAAGTCCATCAACTTTATCGGATTATTGAGAATTTTAATTCATCCGAGAGGGTCAAATGAGAATCCTCACCATCTATCAAGCCTTTTAGTGACAGTCAGCATTATGGGGATACTACTCTGATGCCTGATGTTGTTTGGGCAGGTCAATATTAGTGAGTTCTACCATCTAATTTTGACACGTTTTTATATTTAACACCACTCCCACCAGTAGTCCTGCTCTTAGAAGATAGTAAACAAATAACCCATGCACTGAGAGGCTCTAGTTGAAATTATTGGTCGAGGTGGCAGGAGTAGCACTATTTCTGTCACCGAGGAATCAAACCAACCTTCATTAAAGTTCAGTGAGAGCAGCGCAGACGACTGTACCGCGACCGGGCCGATACCGATAGCACATTGATCTTGATCGATCACACATCTATGACATCATCCACGGTATAGTGCACTGTACCATGGATGACGTCATGGTATAGCATATTTTTCTTATCGGTAACATAGCAATGTTATGCTTGGTCACATGATGCTACATTGACCAATCACTGAACAGGATTTCATTTATAAAAAATATGACCAGTAGTACTGCTCTACGAAGAAAGTAAGCAAATAACCCATGCACTGAGTGGCTCTAGTTGAAATTATGGATTAAGGTGGCAGGAATAGCACTCTTTCTGTCGCAGAGGAATCAAACCAACCTTCATTAAAGTTCAGTGAGAGCAGCGCAGACGACTGTACCGTGACTGCGGCCGGGCCGATACTAATAGCACGTTGTTCTTGATCGATCACATATGTCATTCATGACGTGATGGTATAGCATATTTTTCTTATCAGTAATATCAAAGCAATGTTTATGTCTGGTCACATGATGCTATATGTTGAACAATCACTGAACAGGATTTCATTAATTAAAAATATAATATAAAATAATAAAAAAGATCACCGAGTTGTAGGAAACTCTTCTAGATTAATAGTTTGTTATATATACATTAAAAGGACAAAAGTCTGGAAGCTGTGGGGGGGGGGGGGAACAATCCCTGAAATGCACCTTTGCAATGGCCCTTGCTAGTTATCAGCAGTAGATATGAACTCATATATAACTTGGCATACAACATCTTGTGCTTTAGATGAACTTAAATAAATAATACCCTTTGATATCATATGTTATTCCAAGTTTTATTCAATAATAATAATAACAGTGACAATAATAAATATGATAATAATGATAATAATAATGATGATGAAGTTAATAACAATGATAATATGAAATAATAATAATATATTTCCGAATTCTACGCAATCGTACATTTTCAATTGTTGTAAATCCATTTACTTTCTTATATTATTCCACGATGTAAAAACGATATATATATCCATGTTTTCATCTGACTACGCCATTGGAAATTTACTACTGTGTATCATCTATTTGTGTATTATATTTTATATTGTATTTTGTTCATGTGCTCTACGTAATGCCGACAAACTGAATTTCCAAATGGACCAATTAAATTAATCTGAATCTGAATCTGAATCTGAATTAAATCAATGTGTTTAGAGTCAAAAGGGCATACAACTCTTGTGCTGCAGATACAGAGTAATGATGAACTTAGATCAGTGTGTTGAGAGTCAAAAGGGCATACAACTCTTGTGCTGCAGATACAGAGTAATGATGAACTTAGATCAGTGTGTTGAGAGTCAAAAGGGCATACAACTCTTGTGCTTTAGATACAGAGTAATGATGAACTTAGATCAGTGTGTTGAGAGTCAAAAGGGCATACAACTCTTGTGCTGCAGATACAGAGTAATGATGAACTTAGATCAGTGTGTTGAGAGTCAAAAGGGCATACAACTCTTGTGCTGCAGATACAGAGTAATGATGAACTTAGATCAGTGTGTTGAGAGTCAAAAGGGCATACAACTCTTGTGCTGCAGATACAGAGTAATGATGAACTTAGATCAATGTGTTGAGAGTCAAAAGGGCATACAACTCTTGTGCTTAAGATACAGATTAATGATGAACTTAGATCAATGTGTTGAGAGTCTAAAGGGCGTACAACTCTTGTGCTTTAGATACAGAGTAATGATGAACTTAGATCAGTGTGTTGAGAGTCAAAAGGGCATACAACTCTTGTGCTGCAGATACAGAGTAATGATGAACTTAGATCAGTGTGTTGAGAGTCAAAAGGGCATACAACTCTTGTGCTGCAGATACAGAGTAATGATGAACTTAGATCAGTGTGTTGAGAGTCAAAAGGGCATACAACTCTTGTGCTGCAGATACAGAGTAATGATGAACTTAGATCAGTGTGTTGAGAGTCAAAAGGGCGTACAACTCTTGTGCTGCAGATACAGAGTAATGATGAACTTAGATCAATGTGTTGAGAGTCAAAAGGGCATACAACTCTTGTGCTTTAGATACAGAGT